AGAAAGCAAGTAAATAATGCCACAAGTATCCTCGTATATAATAGCTTTTTCTTTTTTTTCACTCTTCACTTGTTAACTTGTTGTTGTCACTCAATACTTAATTTTAAGCACTACAGCCTCTTTAATACCTAAATTTACTCAAATGCTGACTAACTTCAAATATTTACATTTATTACTCACTTGTTTCCAAGGTTCTAAGGTCTCCTATAACTTGGGTGCTCACTTTACTGTTCCTTCTAAAGTTAAGTTTCCAAATAATTTTATTATAGATTTGAGAACGTTCATTTTTTGAATTTTGTATCTTTGTTCCGGGGCTTTCAATGTTGATTCAGCCAATAAACTTCATGTTTTTTTCCTCTTTTAACTCTTTTGACTCTTTTGACTCTTTATTCTGATGGTTCTTTTTTTTAAATACATTTTTCAAAAGTTAATTATCCAAATATCTACTGTTGTAATTATGGCACGGCTTCTTTTCCCTTAAAAACAATCATTTGTTTACGTTTCCGGATACTGGTGCAAAATTACCGGAATGAGGAACATTTTTTTTTTCAATTTCCGGAAATAGGTACATTCTTACTTTTCCAACTTCACACCTCTTTTTCTTGATTTATATGACTCAAAACATACTAATCAGGGTTTCTCTTGAAAGCTGAAAAGAGCATCTTTCCATTGAGCCCAAAATGAAATTTTTTCGTTAATATGATTGATTTTGGCATGTCTTCAAAGTTGAAAAATGTCCTTAGCATTCCGGGTACTGGTGCTGTTACCTTAACCAGTTTTCCAATATAAAGCATTTCAAGTCTACGAAAACATTGAGGTTTTATGCACCAGTTGCATGATACACTGAGAAAAGATACATCAACTCCGTTCATCTCTGAAGATCCTAATGCAGAAATCCCGTTAGGAGGAGGAGGAAGGCGCTATGAACAAACACTGATTTTTACAAATCATTTTCACTCATTTTCACTTCATCTTATCTGTAGGTATTCAATTCAATGTTTCATAATTTTCTGTCTTATGTAGCATGGAGGATCCAGATTACCATACATGAATCTGCCAAATTTAATGCTAGGGAGGCAAAAGAACAAGACAAACTGTTGAAAGCTTAGTTATACCTGCAGCAAGAAAGAATGTAAACCCTTCTAACAAAAAATCTACTTGCTTAGCGTGTCATGAGGAAAGGTTCCTGTACACCGTAGTACCGTGAGGTCACTCCGGATACTGTGAGCAATGTGTGGACCTTTGTTGAAATGGAATTTGAAATAATTGCTCAAATTTTTCTCATAATCTAAGAAACTCTACTTCTTTATTTTACAGGCTCTAACAGTACAAAGAGGCTCTGGGTAATCTAAATACCGGAGATGTTGCTTTTGACAACTTCCGCTATCTATGTGTGGTGTCAAGGAGCACAGCAGGAACTGTTCCACCAAACATCTTACAAATGTTATCATTTTCTTTAATTAGTTATTTATTTATTTATTCGTTAATTTCATTTCTGATTATATCATCCACCATGGTACTGCGCCCTCTATGCGAAATCTTGAGGTTGAATTCATCACTGCTCAAAGAAGTATGTCGGAGCAAAATGTGAAACTTCATGATAGAACCGCCCGCAGTGGCGTAGGAAGGGGGGGGCAGGGGGGGGGGGCTGCCCACCCAAAATTGGAAATAGTATCATCTGGCCCCCCCCCCAGAAATTCTGGATGGTGCAAAAACACCATCTTTAACGGTAAGTCTCTGTCGCCGTGGCCCGTGAGAGGATGCCTATCTTCCGAATTGAAGGAGAAAGCTATGTAAAATGTTTCCCAAAGTTTCCCGCAGAGCGCAACACTTGCGGAGCTCTTACTATGTGTTTTTTTAGTACCGTGCTTCCAAGTTCAAAGTTGTTTAAGTTGTTTTTGCTCAGTTCCTGTCAAGTTGTTTCACAGTTTTTGATGGCCTGAATAACATCTCTCAGCAATCGGTGAGTAGATAATGTACATTTCTTCCTATCCAATATTTTAGTGTTTAAATTTCAATGGTGGAATCATTCATTTTGAAGAGGGCCTAAACACCAAAAACTCAAGATCATTGATGGACGTAAATAAGATAGCAGAAACTAACGATTATTAGTATTTGAAGCTGAAGCCACTTGGTCAAAAATTCAAGTTATTTCTCACGCACGTTCACATCAAAAGAACTGAAATTCAAGGATTCATTTTTGCCAGTCACGTGGGTTATTTTAGACTCTCACAATGATATCAGTCAAACACTGTCAAGTGGAAAGTTGAACTGTGATTGAATATTGTAGGTATTTTGCATGTGTTTTTCTTTTGCAAGGTGCAATTTACTAACGGTACAGTTCATATTGTCCATTGAGGGGTAATTTTATGGGTGAGGCTTCTAACCTCTTCGAAATGCATGCCTTCGGATATCGTGACTCCTTCATTCCTCACCGCACATCCTTTTGCCACTATCCGCTCCAAATCAGTTGACATTTTGTCCAGGAGAGTGCAGCACTAAACGGGGAGAGTGCGTTCACGAATGCTGCTTTAGACTGCCTGAAGAGAGCGCTGCTCGCCGACATTGTCCAAACTGGTCGTGTGTGTATGGATTGCAGCACAGAGCATTTGAAGGAGATTTATTTAGGGAATTTCTTATACTGCGTAAAATTTTAGCGCTCATATTGATTTTATCACTAAAAATATTTCATTCAATTGAGTAATTAAATCAGTAATGTGCAGTTCACCTATATTGCATAAAATTGTTAAACGCATTCACAAATTATTTTATGCTTCATTCAGAAAAGAGGGGCTTTCAACCGAAAACAAGGGTCCTAATTTTTGGATGGTCCCAGCTTCTCTCCGAGGTCAGGATCCAAACATCACAATTATTAAGGTTAACTTGTTAAAATTGTATCCAAAATGCAGTGGGCAATTGGGTAAATTGAAAACTTCAAAATTTCGAAAATCACTCATTTTGATTCACTTAGAAAAGAGTACCAATCGCACACTTACAAGTTGACTTAGGGTATCCTCATTGTGTTCAACTTAATTAAATTCTACGATTTGCCATAGCTTCATGGTTTTGCGAACTATTCTCGCTTATTCATCATTCTCCTTTTTCAGATCGAGATGAAGAAATTCAAGAAAGAAGACATCACATCTTTTTTCACTAGGGTAAAGCCTTCAAGTTCAAAAATTAACTCTGGAGCCGAGAAATCAGAAGTGAACACCCCAACTTTGTCTAGTGCGAAGACGATTTCACCCTCAAATTTGAATACTCCTGCTACTTCTACAGCTGAGGCACCTCTGGATGAACCTTTGGATGCAGGTGTTGGTGCTGCTGCAACCACCCCAACTGATTGTGAGCCATCTTCAAATATACCCTCTGATTTAGGTACTTCAGAAACAGGTCCTGCTCAGCCTCGAATCGAGTTTCCTAAAACCACCTTTGGTACGAGGAACAGATCATTCTCCTCACAATTATACGATGAGTTCAAATGGGTCGAATACAGTGTTGAACAGGACAAAATCTACTGTTTTGTCTGCAGACAATTTTACGCAAGTTCCTTAAGAAAACAAAGCGAGAAATTTATTCACTCAGGGTTCAAGAAATGGAAAAAAACCAGCGAGGCTTTAAGGAAACACCAACAGTCTGACTATCATATTTCTTGTAATGAGAAATATCTCGCCCGTAAAGTTGCTACAAAAACTAAGGATGTTCACGAGCAAGTGCAGCATCATATCATGATGAAGAAGTGGTGTTGAATAGAAATTATCTTGAAAAACAGATCGACATAATATTGTGTTTGGCAAGTCAAGGGTTGCCTTTTCGTGGACACCGTGAAGGGGAAGAGTCGTCAAACAAGGGAAATTTTTTAGCTGTTGGTGAACTTTTAGCGAAGTACGATGAAGAATATGCCAAAAATTTTAAAGAACGTAAATATTGCAGCCCCGAAATCCAAAACCAGTTGATTGATACAGCAGCCGAACTTGTTTTGCATGACATAGCCAAGGAAGTTGAAAAATGTGGTTTCTTCTCTCTTAGTGCAGATGAAGCAAGATGTCACAAGGAGCAGCAACTCTCAGTGTCAATTAGATACGTCATAGGTCTGGAGGCTGAGGAAAGATTCCTTGGTTTCATAGACTGTTCTAAGTCAAGAGATGCTGCAAGTCTAAAAGATCTGATTATATCTCATTTGGAAAAATGTGGTCTCTCAGAATACATTATTATCGGTCAATCGTATGACGGAGCATCCGTCATGTCAGGAAAGCACGAAGGACTGCAGGCGCAGATTCAGAGACTGCACCCACTAGCCGTCTATGTACACTGCCTAGGTCATCGCGTAAATTTAATCGTGGTCGACGCGTGCTCCCAGTGCCAACCTGCTACTAGATTCTTCATAATGCCGCACAGGCCCTGTACAAGCATTTTTCTAACCCAGATTCGCATTCTTTTTTGAACGATATTTGCCATGTTTTGGGTATTACCTTTCTTGAGCTCACCAGTCTAAGTAGCACCAGATGGCCTTGCCGTTTTGAGAACTGTCGAGCCATAAAGAATAACTACGATGCAATCGTTAAAGCTCTGAGGGATGAAATTGAAGCCGCATCCGATTCGGACGCGGTGACGGCTGAGGGAATTTTAACTCAAATAACAAAACCTGAGTTTGTCGTTTGTTTGTTTGTTTTCCATAGTATCCTGTCAAAAGCAAATATTTTGAGTAAGTATTTTCAGGGAATCAATGCAACGCTTGGACGAGCATGCAGTGTAATTGAAGCCGTCATTACTGAATTTGAGAGTGCGAGAGATAATTTTGATCCTATGTGGAGCGAAATAGTGGCATTTTGTACCGAAAGGGACATCCCTGTCGAAGGCCCACGTAATTCAACAAGGCGAAAAATGCCTAGACGCATGGACGATTTTTTTGTTATGTCCTCTATGGGGAAAAATGACACTATTGAGCTCCCTCCTGAGAGATCGGTCATGGACCACTGGAAAGTGAATGTTTAAAAGTGAATGTTTACTTGCCTGTGATGGATGCCGTTATCAGTGGCTTTAAGAAAAGGTTCCAAAATCTTCCTTTTGCTAAAGCAATAGATAAGTTTTGGGAACTTGACCTACAGGGTGCAAAAGAATTTGTCGATCACTATAAGGATGCTATGAAAGTGGACATTGATATGCTTCAAGCAGAGGTCAATGTGATGAAAAATGTGCTTCAAAATCGGGGGAAAGAACTCAATTTTAAAAACCTGAAGACGGAAATTAATGAAGACTTCATGCCAAACTTATACAAGCTTTTGCAGGTCTCTATTGGCTTGTCCATTAGTTCGGCGAACTGTGAACGAAGCTTTTCTGCCATGCGCCGAATTAAAACATGGCTTCGGACAACAATGATGCAAACTAGATTTTCGAATCTCTCTTTGCTTCATATTGAGAGTACAATGGTCAAAGTGAAAAACTTCTCTGGAAGAGTAATAGACATGTTCTCGAAGCAAATTAGAAAATTGAGATTTTGTTAAAAATGCTTGTTTAGAAAATTGAGATTTTGTTGAAAATGTTTGTTTCGAGAATTGAGATTTTGTTGAAAATGTTTGTTCAAGAATTTTGTATATTTTTATTGCAGAGCTCTTTAAAGAAATAATAATTTGCAGTTTATTTTGACCTTTTTTGTATTTTTTCTTTTTTCAGTTATCTCCTCCGTTTTTGTGTATGTGCTTTGAACATTGGTTCCATCTTGCAAACATTTTAAAAAAGAAGATTAATTAAGAGCAAAAAGAAAAAAAATAAAATAAAATAAGTGTATTTCTTCCGGGAAATAGAGCAACTGAACAACAATAAGAAAAACATTAATTCCATCCTGCTTTGTTTATTCAATTACCTCTAATTAACGAGGAAAAATCAGAGTGTAAAATAAAATTACGAATCAATGAAATTTATCACTCTTAATGCACATAGTTTTTACTTAAAATCTCGCGCTCGAACGGTTAGTTTTTTCTTCTCTGTTCATTATTCAGTTGAATTGCTCTAAAAAATCTGGATGCAATCGATTTTTTTCTAATTCATAATTCATATCTTTATTTTTTGGTACATGACAAATGCTCATTCGTTCATAGTTACGTCTTGCTCATTATATTATATTTTACTTTGCATGGGCTTTTCCTAATACAGAACAATGATTCTGGCATTCACTAAACATTTATTTCGCAATTTTCACACAAATGAGTGGTTAAAAGTGAGAAAATAAATGGAATAACCTGTTGAATGCAACAATTTCAAAGTATTTTAACCTTAAAATGCATAAAACTGGGTGAATTTTATGCAGAAATTGTAGGAAGATTAACGCCACAAGTGCCTCGAGATGCGCTCAAATAGAGTTAAAATTTCAAAAATTTTCCGGCTGACCTGGGGGGTATTCCATACCCCCCAGACCCCCCGGTGGTGGGGGGCCAGGCCCCCCCAGCAAAATGGCCTAGCTACGCCTATGACCGCCCGACTGTCAGTCAGTAAAGTCCAAGACCGATTTGACGAGATGATGGATGTCATCAACCTCAATTATTTCCGGTGTAAAATGGAAGAGTTACGAAAAATTCAGAGTGAGGAGATGCTCAGAAAATCAGAGCGAAGTTCGACTTCAGTCGGAAATGACTCTTCCCTGTCCACCTCCTCGCATGGGAGGACCTCCTCTATCACCGCCATGAAAGAGATTAGGTCGCGGATAGAAGGAGGATATCAGAGTCTTCAAGTCGGAGCCGTTGTTCCCTCAGCAGACTCTCTTTCTGTACCCGTAGATGGGAACGAAGAAGGCTCGGTTGTATCATCTCCTCCGGAAAAGAGACCTACGTTAACAAATTTCGATTGGTACGATGAACTAAGTCAGCAAGAAAATGATTATCTTGTCGAATTTTCCAACCAAGAAATACCTATGCATTCTGGAGATGAGAATGTTACTTCCAGCCATGAACTCTCTGATGACGTCACCGTAGCATCTCCCCAGAAGAAAAAATCTAGGTTGTCCAATGCCGGTAGCTAGGATCAACTAAATCGGCATGAAAATGATTTAGTAGTCCAACTTTCCGGTACGAACTTATCCATGAATTCTGGGGTTGAGGCTCTCGCTCTCAGCCAAGACCTCAGCGCACAAAAGTTCATCGAGTCATATGCTGCAGAACACTCACTTTCCACTTCGGAAAGTGAATCTGAAACTGTAGCTCAAGATGAATCTCTCTCTATTGGAGTTGATTCTCTAGTGCCAACCAAAAGAAAGCGAAAACTGCATTTCTGGGGAGCCAGAAAGAGTCGGTGGTACAAAAAGCAGAACGCTCTGATTCGCAAGGAAGTTGCAAAAAATGTAACGGCAGCATTTTCCAGTACATAACTTCTCAGGCGCTAAAATGATGATAGGAATAAAAAAAAGCGTGGTTCCAAGCAGAAATCATCTTCTCTTGGAGGAAAGAAAAAAGGAAAAGTTTCATCTACAGATAACGGTGCATCCTTGCGTAAAAATACTGCTTCACCGCCTGAAGATGACCTACCAAATCAAAATAACTTCCCACTGATAAGAGCAGGAAATACCACCACTCAAGAGGAGGTGGAAGAGAGTGTTGAGTATCCTGCCTCCTCTGCACCTCGACCAGGACCCGTTCAGACTTGTTCGATTGACAGGAGTGGTGAGCAGCCATTTTCGGTTTCAAAGAGAAATCATCCTTCAAGGTTAGCAGCCCGACTTTCGAGACCCTCTACGTTCCGGAGGAATGTACCGAAAGACAGCTTTAACCGACCGATTTTCAATGAAACTTTCAAAAGTACTCCAAGGGTAAATTAATTACCTAAGTCGCATGGGTATCCTATGTATATATAAGATTTATATGCTGTATTTATACTGCTGTACTTTATTCTCAAAACGGGCAGCCTCGCAGGCCCCGGTTAGTCATTCTAGAGATAGATATGAATGAAAAATGACTAGGCCTCAAGCAAAATGTCAAAAAAATATTTTTTTCAAGAGTTATGTTTTTAAGGGTTTTTGTAGAGCTACATGTGAAGGACAGAATTCTCGTTCAATTACAGCCGCCATGGCGCAAAAAATAGAGAGCCGCCGGGTTAGTCATCTAAGGGTTAAACAAAACGTTATCGTAGGCTTAAAAAATTGAGATTTTCCATGTAATATGTAAGAGATCGCAAAAATCGATATTGGATATTGATATATCGTTTCTTTTCATTCATAAAGGATTTCTCGACTCAAAATACCTACGTAGGAGTACCTGTAATTGGAAAAATTTTGACCGAAAGGGGGCCGTGGAGAGCAATTTTATTGTAAAAAAAACTCGACAAATCGGCATATTCAGCCCTCAAAGCTTCGATGTCCATGTTGATGATCAAGGTAAGGAGTTATTGCATGGGATTATTTTCTCGTTCTTGATGCCTACTGAGAACTTTTGAGCCCAAGCCATTTCCGGATTTCCAGAAAAATAACAATTTCGGTCCACCCTGCTCCCCGCGTGCGATTCACATACGCCCGCCCCGCCCGCCTATACTCCCCCCCCCCCCCGGAAAAGTCGCCCCCGTGCGACTACAGCGCTCGCCCGGGCGAAGATTATTGCAGCGATCAATCCATACATAGAGCAGTGTGAGTAAGCGACGGGAAGGGGGTGGTTGATTAGGCGATTCTTGCGTTTGGACACTCTTTACCAGTAGAATTTGATCCGTCTACGGCTCTTATCCAAAACGTCACCATCATGTTCGCTGTAGCTGCTCTATCAATTACTCCTGGGATCCATCCTCGTGTTGCGATTGGATCTGTGACTACTGTCACTTGAAAATAAAACAAGCTGCTGGTTCCAACACTACTGTGTTGGAGAGCTCGCCTTTGGGAAACTATTAACAACTATTAATGATTTTTTCTGAAATTGTATATGTATTAAATGAATCTTTACCCAATTATCAGAGGTTACATGCCGATGCAAAATGTTATGACGTAATTTCATATGACAAATTTTTCACATTACAATAAATAAAGAGAAATAAAGAGAGAGAAATGGAATTATCTTTTATGAATGTGATTTTGCGGCAAATGTTGCAATGGCTATTTTTGCCATCGCATTTTTGTTTCTGGCTTTCATCGTTGATAAGCCTTTTCTTAACTTGTCAACAATGTAATGAAATCATATGATTTAATTTTAATTTTTTTTTTTAAATCAAGTCGCCAACTTGAATTAAGGTTATACTTTGTTAAGCTGGCAGTCTGGAATTCTGAATTTTTATCGGCACAGAGTTCAAAGAAACTATAATTTAGCACGGTTTGGAGGAACGTTTCTGCCATAATTCTTACACAATACTTATTAAATCATAAACTCATTAAATGCTTTAAAGATTGTTTAAAGTCTCAAAATGTTCAACTTTTATTCAAAGCAGTGCAAGAGTTAAGTGGGTTTGACGAAACAACAGGTATTGTTGGAATTCCTAGTATGCCTGCCCGACTGAAAACTGCAATACATTTAGCATTAGTTATCCTGAGAATGGACATACGAGCCGATCAAAACATTTCTTATGAGTCTAAGAAAGAACTCATTTTTGATTTTCAAACAACAGAAGAATACATGAGAAAAGATTGGAAATTCGTCATCTCTACAAACGCTGCAAAATCTGCAAATGCTAAACGAAGAAACAAAGTCCCCCTAATGCCTCTGGAAGCAGACATTAAAACCATGAGCACATATTTAACCGAACTGGAGAATTCACTGTATGATAAGTTGAAAGAATGTCCAGATCCAAATTTATTTGAAAAGATGTGTGAAGCAGTTATCGCTGATTTAATCGTCTTTAACTGCCGGCGAGCAGGAGAAGTAGTGAGAGCGGAACTAAATGATTATTTGTCACGAAACAATGTCGAATTTGAGGGAAATTTAGAATCACCTCTTTCACCATCAGAATTAGCAGCCAAAGCATCTCTAACAACATTCTACATTCTTGGAAAAAATTGAACATGAGGCTAATCATTTATTGTGGTGCCCAATTGCAAAATGTGATCCAAATGTAGATGCACCATTCATGCATAGGTCTTATCAAATTTTCCATGAGCTAGGAGTTTCAATTGGAAGTGATAATTTGAACAAGTTGTCCTCATTGTTAGTTAGGAACTCAACAATTATAATCTTTCTTAAATTTCAGGTAAAAGTGATGCTTCTTCAGAATTGACAGAGGAACAAAAAGGAACACTTGAGGAACTGGGCGAGCTGCAGAATGAATGGTCTCAGTCTCCTTTGAATAAGCTACACCAAGTAGCACAACATTGTGAAGAAGGAACATTAGAGGAACTGAGCGAGCTGCTGAATAAAAGGTCTCAGTCTCTTCTAAAGCCGCCTCAAACAGCACGTAGTTCTGAAGTAACAAGATTAGAATTTCCCATCTTTAAAACAGACAAAAGTAGCGTCAGGAAACAAGGCTGAAATGCAACACTAAAAAAAATGTTATGTTTCGGCTGGTGACCCAATCATAATCAGTTGGCATAAGAAACTTTAAAAAACAAAAATTCATTTTAAATAA